CATCTGCATTGCAGGTTGCCAGGCAATAATTATGATTAGAATAGTGCCAGTTCACTCCCATGCATGCGTAATGGGCTGCCCCCATGTTTTTGCCTACCCACGCGAGCATTCAAGGTGCATTACAGTGTGCTAATACAGGGTGCTACTCAGGGTGCTAATACAGACTGCTTTAGAAAATAATATGATTTAAGGAGCGTAAACCTTGTTCAACAAACATTTGCCTTTGCAATTGAACTGTGCAACTGTAGCCTCACATCCACAATAGCAAAAGCAGTTCAGTCCTTTGTTAACAGTCAACAAATCCATGTTTAACCCTCCTCTTGAGGGTCAAAAGGTTATCCGACACTTACTCTTCGCATGTCAGCTGAAAGTACATTTTATGGTCCTTTTAATAAAGCCATAAAAATGGTAGGTCACCGCTGAAACGAAAACGTTTTTCAATCGCTCCGTCAGACCATGTCCTCAAAAATTGTATAAAATCTGCCCTGTGCCCATTGACCTTTGACCTGTCAAAGGTCAAAGGTCAAGAGGTGTAAAAGAAGGGGGAACATTCACTCATTAACTTAAGGTATAGGGAGGAAATGCAGAATTGCGCCACAAATCTAAACGGCTCGACCTAGGCTCGTGATAGTCGGTGTATAGCATCATGGTAGGAAAAGCCATCACTGTGCCGAAATTGGAGGTCGAATATCGTCACCGTATGTCGAGCGGTTAAGATTTGTGCCCAACTGTTGACAGACGGACGGACGGACGGACGGACGGACGATCATGCGATTCTACAAGCTGCATCTGACTATGTCAGATGAGCTAAAACTAACCTCCTCGACCTGATAGTGATATAACTCAACCTATGGCTATGATACTGATAGAGTTAATGATAAATATCAGTCTTCAAACATTAAGTCCAAGGAACTAGGCCTATATCGAGAACGGAGAGGCAGATAGATGGCCCAGATGGCTACCAACACTGCGGATCGCAATAGAAAACAGCTTCAATTTTACAATGACTAACTAAGTAACAACAAATGTCAACACACGACAACAGCGTATGTATTATAAGTTATAACTCCGGAAGATACATGGTACACTGGTAGTGCCTAGACTAGAGTACTGTGAACCAGTTAAAATACTTACTAGCCATTGTGGTCGTTCGTGGGCAGAAACGAAACCGCGCAGTACAGGTACCGTAGACTGAATGAGGCCAAACTCATTTAGGCCTCGTCGAGTCGTCGACCCGACGGCCGGATGATTACAAAATCTCCAGCGTGTCGCCAAGCATGGCTGCCGTGTGACGTCACAAGCGGGCATCCGCCGCGGAACCGGAACTGTTTGCATAGCGCTGCCATCTAGCGTTAGATGCGTTCTCCGACTCATCCGTCAACTTACCTGGCAGGTGGCAGGCAGGTACGCAATCACGATTTGGCAAGCGGCATTTTGCGTAACTGTAGAATTGTATCTCGTCCAAAATAGTTTTAATACAGTATTATGAGTATATACTGAAGGGTCGATACAATGCGTAAACGTTCCGATTAGATTATTAGAAAGATTTTTAACATCTATTAACTATAAATAATAACTAGGCCTAGCGACGCAGAAATGTAATCTGCTTCCCTATTTGGCAGAACTTTATCGTTGTTGTGAATCAACTTGTTGTGGGCAAGGGAGTGCCGAGTGGGGACAAAGGTCGTGCGACGTGCACACTCCAGTTTTGCACACACTCATTGCTCGTTGACAATCATGGCGGGCAGCTGGAAATGTCATGCATTAATTACCTGCACTGTGGTATTCAGCTGTATATGTACAGGTAAGCCTAATAAAATTAAAAGCTATTCGCTATACAGTAGTCAGTATACTTCAGTACTACTCGGTACCATGGTGATGGCAATTCCATTTCATTTGCCATAGCATCACAGTGTCACTGTCAGCGTGTCAGTGATTAGCAGAATAGGTTTAATTGGCTGTACTTATTTATTCTTCAATAATTAATTTAATGAATAGGCCTATTAGTATAACGTTGTATAATTTGCTGACTGAATTGTATAAATTCACATTGTATAACTTGAATTGAATAATTGAGTATATTGTATAATTTGAATAATTGTATAAATTGAATATAACTTCACATTGTCATTGTATAAATTATTTGCTGACTGAATTTCTCTGATCTAGCTGCGAGTTTGGACTGCTACGAATGCAAATGGGCGCAGGCAGAGGGCGGTGTGATCACTGGTGACGCTGGGTGCGAGGATGACTTTGCTCTCGACGACAACGTGTACTATATCAAGCGAGGATGTACATCCTGTATGAAGATAAAAACACTGATAGACCGTAAGTGTGGCTGAGAGGGTCTATGTCCCCCAGCGTACTGCCGGAACGTACCCTGGTACTATATAATATGCCGGACCGTACCTCGCCTACTCCACTAACGAGTCTAGGGAGTCGCCTACGCCTACTCCCTAACCCTAACCATATATCAAATGGTTACCAGGGTACGTTCCGGCAGTACCCTGGGGGACATAGACCCTATGAGCGTAAGTGTGGTAGTATTTTTAAGCAGGTTACATCTGCAAATATTAACAAGTATTAATAATGCAACCAAAACACTTCATTCACAAATAAACAAACAAAGCTACCTGGTTTCGGTTTCAAGTCTTGCAAGCCCCGGATGCGGTTTTTCGTCGTGCGTTCTAGAACTTCCATTTAAAGCCTATGCGAACCCAACTATGCATATTTTTCAATAAAAACTGCAATAAGATTTTACCATATTATCAGGAGCTTATAAATGGAATGATGGAATGATAAATGGCTGATATTATTACTTACCTTGAGGGATTTTATTAAAAAGTTGTGTTTTGTATATGTATTGCATTCATGGGGCTAGGTAGTTTAATTTAAAAAGTTAAATGTTGAACTTTTGCTGTGACCTTTTGAATTTGAGTAACAATATCTTTTGAAAAGGTGAAACTCACGGGGGTAAGCAAATTTACACTGACACTGGCCGGTGATGATGTTTGCATTTTACTTCAGTTGAGCAGGTCGAGATAACACGATCGTGTCACACGCTCACCTACCAGGGCAACTACTGCAACGAGGAGAGGCGAGACTTCGACACCAGCATCTGGACATGCTACTGCTCACTGGATAATAATTGCAACTCTGCACCATCACTGCAAGGTGGCGCCCTCGTGTGGATGGTCACAGCAGCCTTGAGTGGACTGCTTATGATGCTTCTGGCTTAGTAAATTAGTACCTGCTAGGCACTGGTGTGAGCCACATAGGCCATATTTGTATGAAACTTTGTCGGTCATGACAGAGCCTGTGTCGGGAGAGCTCTGTTGTGTAAGCGTTGTGTATATAATTGATTTTATACCGTATATTCGTAGAAGGTCAATGTACCTTACAAATCACGATTGAATGATGAACAGCCCAGTTATTGTTAAAAGTAAATATATATCTATGTATCAATTTCCCAAGCTCTGCAGATGATTGAAACTCCACTGAATTTTTTTAGACCAGAGACTTACTTGCATGTCAAGATTACCATACGAAAGTCTCACATTTATAATGTAAATGTTGAATTTCTCTTCCTGTACTTATGAGTAGACCTAGTATCAATATAATAAGATGTTTGTATAATTGCAAGCATAGAGTTAGGTGAGTACGGTCTTTGTTTCTGTAATTTTGTATCACGTTTTTTTACCTAAATGACAGTAATAAAATAAATTATTCCTAACATCGTTCTTTAGTACTTTGGATGTCCATGGATCTTTATTTTCTGTTCACCTTGTTACTCCCTGTATATGTATGCATGTGTGTGTGAAAAATATTAATGTGGGTTAAAATATTATTAAGCAGTCATTTAATTTGTATCCTAACGAAAGGGAGGCTTTCCACGGTGCGTGCGTACATAGATATATTTGCGGCACAGGCATATTGCCATGGCACAAAATTTACTAACTCGCACGCAAACTTTTCGATGTCAGAGCGCGTGAAACATCTCACACGAGTTGGCTGGTAACTCGAACTGCCCGATCTCTAGGCGAGTCATCTCGTCACACAAGTCAAGCTGATCGATATCCAAGCGAGTCATCTTGTCACACAAGTCGAGCTGACCGACCTCCAGGCGAGTCATCACGTCACACAAGTCAAGCTGACCGATCTCCAGGCGGGTCATCTTGTCACACATGTCAAGCTGACCGATCTCCAGGCAGGTCATCTCGTCACACATGTCAAGCTGACCGATCTCCAAGCGAGTCATCTCGTCACACAAGTCAAGCTGACCCACGTCCAGGCGAGTCATCTCGTCACACAAGTCAAGCTGACCGACCTCCAGGCCAGTCATCTCGTCACACAAGTCAAGCTGACCGACCTCCAGGCAGGTCATCTCGTCGCACAAGTCAAGCTGACCTACCTCCAGGCGAGTCATCTCGTCACACAAGTCGAGCTGACCGACCTCCAGGCAGGTCATCTCGTCACACAAGTCACCGATCTCCAAGCGAGTCATCGCGTCACACAAGTCAAGCTGACCGATCTCCAGGCGAGTCATCTCGTCACACAAGTCACACTGCAAGTCGAGTTGGCGAGTGAGTCGAGTTGACCGGTGCCCTTAACAGTAAACGCACGTCGCCGTCCGAGAGACAAAACTATATACGATCTATAGTTGCGTTGCGTGTCGCGGGCTCCGGTACGTGGAAGATCAAACTCGACGTTTTGTATCACACCTCTGTTGTTATTTCCTGTGTTTTTGGCTTCACGTTAGAGCATCGATGATGCGATCATGCATGCGATCGCTGATGAACTGTACTCCCTTACGTCGACTAAATTACGAGAATTAAACGCACATTAGGATTTCCTGCTCAATGCTGCAGAAGATTGTTTTATATATTATTTTGTGGGGTTTATCAAACAAAATATATATCAATTTTTCATTAGTGATCCCACCCAATAAAACTGGCATGCAACAAGTTAACAAAATGCACATCTTTTCGTTGCTGCCGTAAAAAATGCTAGGAACCATGTGATCACATTCACCCAGATCGATAGTGTATCAGTAAAAAGTCTTTACACTGGTGGTGTACTGGCGAATATCTAGCGTGCGTCGCTCTCAGTGCGCATGCCTCACCGCCTCGCATCTGCATTGTCCATCTCTTAAACCATCAACTGGCCATCCATCGTCGTTGACGCAGATGCGACTCAAATAATTCATCTCCCTCTTTCTCCCTCATTCTTCCTCTGCATTTGTCTTTCTCCTCTTGTTGTTACCTTCATCTCCTCTCTCCTCTTTCAACTCCCTCCTGATCCTCCTATTTTCCGACCACCTTCGCATTCCTCATGTCCTGGTGGATGGGCACGATGGGGGCGCCACAATCACATGACATTCTCTGCGAGGTGATGGGCGTCGCCGCGATCACATGCCCCCGGCGAGCGAAAGATAGGGGGCGCTGGCATCACACGCCCTCGGAGAGCGGAGACAGGGGGCGCCGCGATCACATGATGATCTCGGGCAGGGGCACGGACACCGTGACGGACTTGTGTGGCAGGACCTTAACCCCGTTGACAAACAGCTCGTCCTTGATCTCCACATCTTCTCCCAGCACCGTGACGCCTTCCATGCGCGCCTGCAAGCAAAGGGGATCGGTCATCGCTTACTGTGTACGCCATATTTGTTTTCGCGTACAGATATTTTCGCGAATTCAGACTTGACGGACAATTTCGCGAGCGGTTTAATTTCGCGGTCGGTGAATTCCCCGAATCGGTGAAGAACAGTGTTGTTATTTTCGCGTGTTGTTATTTCCGCGGTCGGGGACGCGTTCGCACGCACGCACGCACGCACGCACACGTACCCACTGTCCGACGGTGGATCGCCAGCCGATGATGCAGGAATGCAGCCACGCGTGCGAGCGGATGTGCGCGTCCTGCAGAATCACCGAGCGCTTGATGCAGACGCCGTCGTCAATGACGACGCCGGGACCTATCGTCACGTTCGGGCCGATGCGACAGTCAGCGCCGATCTTCGCCGTCGGGTCCTGCCGGGGACGACGAAAACGCGGGACGTTAACAAGCGAACGTTACTGTTTGACAATATTTTATTATTAATTATTTTATGATTTTTTATTAACATTACTTAATTCAAGATTTTATTATTATTTATTTTATGATTTTCATGTTATTATATAAATTATGATTTGACGGCATTGTACAGATGTTAAGTAAGAGGTTGTTAGCAAAAATGTCTCCCCAAATACTTGACATAATAAATGTCTCACAGATAAGATTTTATCAGGAAATAATTTAACTGAATTAATGATCCCTGAGAAAGAATTTACGGTAGTCGCGGAAAATTATCCCGTAGCGTTCATGTCGTTTCGATCCGACAACGTGCAAGACATGACACGAAATGCGTACAGGCATTGTAATGATCCTGCCAGTGTTGATACACCCAATTTAGTTATCGCTCACATCTCCTCAACGACCAACAAGAGAGCATTTAGACCTGCTGAACGTGCCCACTCACCACCAGGACATTTCCGACGATGCTGGGACCATGGCAAAGCTTGGCACCATTCTTCTGCTGTATCGAC